AAAATTAAAAATATTTTATAATATTATCTAATTTAAAATGTATTATTGACAACTGTAAGAAAAATAGTACATTACATGATTTATAATGTAAAAATTAATAAATAAAATAAAAGATTTGGTTATCAATGTAAAAATTATAAAATGCGTACAAATTTTGGAAATAACACTTTAATTTATTATATGCCCAAGGGGGAACAAAAATTAGCTCAAGAAGGGATAAACTACTATATGGCCCAATGGGGGATTCGAATTTTAGAAGTCAAAACAAATAACATTAATAATAATCATCATGCCTCCTCAGTATATGTGTTTAAAATTGCATATTAATAACATATATTTACATTATGTTTTCATTTAATGATGTTTGGGAATTATCTCACATCGAATGATGAGTATTCAAATATGCTATATAAATAACAATGTAATTGGAAAATAAAACATAAGTGTGAAAACACGAGGGCATCCGTGCACATGCACACGTGCATGTGTGTCGCACGTGTGGCACATGTGTGTGTCGCGCTTTGATGCGTGTGTCGCATGTATAGCACGTGTGAGAGTGTGTGTATCGCTTCTGTCACACGTACACACGTGTGGGAGTGGTGCGTGATGCGTACACACGTGTGAAGGTGCTTTTGAGGTTAGAATTGGGAGTGAACCGCTAGAACCGGATAGAACAGGGTGGGAACCGACGATTCTAATGAGAAGATGACACGTACGAAATTTCATACTCATACAATTTGTATAAAAAAAACTAAAAATAAATTACTTTGAGACGTCGGATCTAAAATCAAACGGTGAGTGGCTCTCTTGATCAAAATTGGACGGCTGGATGGTAGGGGGAGGATAGAACTTCTATAATGTAGGGGAAGCATAGCCCATTTCTATATCCCTCGACAAAACCCAGTCGAATAAATCCCTTTTAAACCACGCTCCCTTTCTTCTCTTTACTTCTGGTAACCATTACCAATAACACCAGATAGAGACGCGAGAGCAATGCGAAACTTTCTCTTTAACTAAAAGGAGAAACAACCTAAAATCTCTATGGAAATCGCTTTTATCTAGGAAACAACCTCTCATTCTGCTAGAGTCTTCAAGAGGCACTATCAATGTTTCTCTTCATAAGAAACTCTATTTTCTAAAAAGAAATTGCACCTTATGCATAGGAGGCTCTGCCTCTCTCTCTCTAGAGGAAACCACCATTCACATATGGTGACCTAAATAGTGTACACAAATTCTATGCATTTTCATCCCATATATATAAGTTAGGAATCCACACATAATAGGAAACTTCCTATAAATATTACATATATCTCAAATCAAAGAGACATATTCAATAGTCCTAATCTTTTTAGATTTCTATTTCCTTTAGGAAACGTATCAATATCAATCTCAATCCCAAAAAATATAGGAATACCTCAATCCCACATAATATGAAAATATTTCAATCCCACAAATATCTTAATCCCACATAATATGTAAATATTTTAATCCCACATAATATGAGATTTTTAAATGTAAATGATTTTGGATAGCACCAAATCCAACAATCTTCACCTTAATATCAAAATCACATGTTCACCATGCCAACATCCATTGGATAACATCAGTATTTCTTCATCTTTTGTCAAATAAATTTATTCATCATTCTTGTTGAAAGATTAGTGTTTGTCATCATATTTGTCCACCTCGAACCTTGCATTCGAAATCTTTATAGCCAATAC